TCAGAGCATCCAACTAATTGTAATATTAGGAAAAGAAAGATAGAAAGAAAGATAGAAAGAAAGATAGAAAATAGAAAATGTTTTTAAAAGATGATTTCATTGATTAAGAGACAAAGGTTATCCAAACCTAACTGGCCCTGTGTGAAAAAGCCCCTCTTATTAAATCATGAACTAACTGTGGTTAACCACACGTTTGAAAGCTGAATTCACTAAATACACTCGGGCCTGACGACTAGCAGAGCAGTCCAATCAAGAAATGACTTAAAAACCGACTAAAGATCTGAAAGAGCAGCACATCACGTGGCGATCTAAAGAAACACCCGAGAAACAAGGCCAGTGACATCTATCAGTCTAGAAAGGCTTACAAAGCCACTTCTAAGGCTTGGTGACCAGTGAACCACAGTGAGAGCCATCAGTCAATCAATCCAGAGTCCAGGATTCAACAAAAAGAAAGAGATCGGCATCCATGGGAGAAAACCACTGTTGACTGAAAAGAACACAAAGTCTCAAAACATCTTGATGATCCCAAAGAAAAATATTCTTGGTTCAAGCACACTTGGTCCCTGCAGCAGGATAATGGTCCCAAACACACCAGCCAGTCCACCTCGGACAGAAAAACCGACTGAAGACTGTGGAGTGGCGTAGTCCTGACCTGAATCTGATTAAAATGCTGTAGCTTGACCTTAAAGGGTTCATGCTTGAAAACCCTCCAATGTGGCTGAATTACAACAATTCTGCAAAGACGAATGAGCCAAAATTCCTCCACCGTGCTGTAAAAGACTCAGTGCCAGTTATTGCAAATGCTTGATTGCAGTTTTGCTGCTAAGGGTGCTGCAACGCAGCTTGGTCTTTTTCACCCGTAATAATTATAAACTGCATTCAGTGTTTTTTGTGTTAAAAAACAACTGTGCACAACTGTAAAGTGCAGAGAAGCTTTTTGTGTATTTTATGATGTGATAATGTTAAACTATGTGAGTAATACAACCAAAAGAAACAAATTTGGTGTTCTGCTTTAAATAATCTCAGCAGGTATTTGTGTTTAGATATTTGCAGAGATGTTTGGCCTTCATCACACAGCTGCTCAGAACAGTGATGGGAGGATGATGATTTGGGCCGTTTTGCAGCCACAGGACTCGATGATCTTAAAATCATTGAGTTGCCCATGCATCTTTGCATGCATCTAGAGTCACATTTGAAGCCATATGTGCAACATCTAAAGCTTGGCCAACATTGGGTCCAGACTGAAAGTCCAGTCTCACCTGACTGAAATGCTTTAGTGGGATCTTAAGAGAGCTTTGCACAAGTGAAAGCCAACAAACTGCAAAGAAGCAACACTGCAAAGAAGAGTGGGCCACAGTCATGCAAGTCAACTCCAAGTTATTACCTGTAAAGATGCTTCTACAAGCTAATGAGTGATGGGCATGCTGCCTCTGTGACTGCACGGCCTCACAGTCAGACTCACAGCAACAGTGTAACCTGAGCGCACAGACGATTGTGTTTCACTCATCAATATTTTAACATTAATCTAATTACTACAGTTAATATGAATGGTGTCAGACAGGAATGCCGAGACTGGGCTCTGCAGTTGTCCGACGGTATTCAGTGCTGTTCCAACAGGTAGGTATTTCAAGAGAAACTAAACCTAAATTACATCAAACTTTATTGCTGGTTCAACCAATCCACTCACATCATCGGGTAACATAATCTCCCCATCCTGCAGATTCTTTTTATCGCCCAAGCAGAAGTTCCAAGACGTAACATTCAGTCTGCACACGGACGGCCACGCTCACCAACCCAGCCTGTCTGCAACGCTCTGCACCCAAAGTAAAACACATTAGTAATATATTATAATCTCACTACAGTTTGTTTTCTTCTCAAGAACTGAGCTGTGGGTGAAGTGCATCTAGTTTGATCTTTGCAAATCCACATATTTGACTTGGGTGTGATTCAGGCCAACAGTAGATAGTCATGTGGCCTTGTGCAACTTTACAAGTCAACCTTTAGGGAACTGACCTCAGACGATGCTCTGGCACAGACTGAACACTCTTCATCACATCTTATCTATAAAAGCAAAACGAGAAAGAACATCTGGTTTACTGGCTCACAGTTTTACCCATGGAGATCTAGAGGAGTTTGAAGCATATCAGTAACATATTTGGTTTAGCTGCACATTTACAGAGGAAGGACTTTTGGCTGAACAATGCCTGCTTTCGTCCTTTACAGACTGACATGCTGATCGTGAACTTCAGGCATCCAAATGAAGCTAATGCATTTCAGACTGGGAGGTAGATGCTACCCTCAGAAGGAGAGAGGAAACGAGAAGGCTCAGTAAGCATCTCCATTTCCCACACCTGCCACAGGAGGGTGTAGGGCAGGGGTGGGCAATCTCAGTCCACGAGGGCCGGTGTCCTGCAGGTTTTAGATGTGTCCTCGAACCAACACAGCTGATTTAAATGGCTAAATTAGCTCCTCAACATGTCCTGAAGTTCTCCAGATTCCTGGTAATGAACTAATCATGTGATTCAGGTGTGTTGACCCAAGGTGAGATCTAAAACCTGCAGGGACACCGGCCCTCATGGACTGAGAGTCCCCACCCCTGGTGTAGGGTCTGCAATGGCAACGTCCTGGAGCACCACCAAGTCCAGGGCAAACCTACACATTAGGAAAATGGATGGATAAAAAAATGAAACCCAAACACGATGATAAAGCCAGACAGGATTACCTGGGTACTGGATGCTATATTTAGAAGTGGTTTACAACAAATGTCTCTTTAAGAAGAGGGAAACTTTGTGTTAAAGTCGAGTGTTTCCTTGACATATGCACACACCTGACCTCCTCCAGGTGTGGCTCTGAGGCTCACTACAAGTGAGCCTGACTTTGACCTTAGCATCATAATCAGAGCGCGATGTTTTAGGGTGAATCTGACCCCGTAAACACGTCATTACTGTTGAGAGACCTAAACAAAGGACCACAGCTAGCTGCTCGCTCTTTCCAGTGTTCACTTATGAGGTTGCAACCAAAAATCAAATTGACAAAAGAGATAAATACCCTGTGGGCCAAAAGGACTGCAGTGGGATATTTTACCCACAGCTGGAAACATGGTCAGTTTAAAAAGGATGAAAGCGTCAAATTAGTACATTTTTCTCAGTGCCTAAAACAGGACTTTTATTTGTGTTAGGTAATCACAATGCCAAGTTTATTATGTAAGCAGCAAGTTGTGCGTGGGACACACAAATGCACATGTGCTGTGGACCCTACACAGGAGAGCAGCTGAGTGTTTAGCACACGTGCGTTAGGACGATCGTTTTTCTTTGTATGAACTTGTGCTGTCACTGAGTCCAGTACCTGGTTAAGTGTCCATTTCTCTTAAATATTGCCACAAGGAGACACATCGACCTGATTCTAGGTAGAAATGAAATGCACACACCTGTGTGTGATTCCCTGTGACAGCCTGCTTCAGCTAACCACACCTTCTAAAAATGTTCAATATTATGGCTAATAAGTCCTTAGATGATTGGAATGATGGTGTCTGCCCAACAATGCGTCAGGCTCGCTCGCCAGGCCGGTGTGTTATTACAGCACAGTCGAGACAAGGGAGCTTAAATCAGCAGAATACCAAAGTAGATGAATGAATGTGTTTTTATCTGTAGTCATGCTTCAGTTGAGGAAGGGCTTAAGTATCAAGACTGTCTCGTGTGGTGGAAGACTGCTTGGCACAGCAGAAATATGATGTAACAGATACCAACAGGAGCGCTGCACCAAACATCCAGCCAACAACATGTGAATGTGGAATATCTGAATATCTCAATACTTTATTGTATTCAGCTAGATGAATGTATACATAGTATACAATACAAGGGACAACAGTTAAAACAATATTATATGTGCATGAATAATAAAAATAGCATCACCACCTTTTAGATGGTGTAACTGGTCCCTCTAAACAAACGCAAAAAGGTTTCTGTTAAAGGACAGAGTCGATCAATGCAAACTTCCAATAAACCCAACATTTGATCATCATGCATGAATTTATGATTCAAAGTAGAGCAACAGCTGAACCCGACTTCAGACTAATCTTATACTTTAAATATTTAGTTTGAAGACAAAAGACGTGAACAGTCTTTGATGTGAGTCAGTTAAGGTTATTATTTTCCTCCTTATCTGATTGGACAGACCTGTGAGACCAGCGTAATAAAATGAACTGCGTCCTTGTCTCAGGTTGGGATTTGGGTTGGAGCTGGGGTCATTACTAACCACCAATCAGACGCCAGAGGGTTAACGTCTTAGCATCTACGTATTTGATTGGAATTTTCACACGTTTAACATGCAGACGTTTCAATTTGTAATAGAAGAACTGCCAAAATGCATGTAAGGAATTAATGTGAAAGGAAACCATAAACACCCGTAAATGGTTTGCTAGTGGTCTGGTGAATATTGCGAGGATAATGGCGAGTACAGACATACCAGCACGCCGTGGATCAACTCTCTGTTCAACAACACATGTTAACGCTACACCAGGGAGGAAAAACAACAGGAGCTGCTTGGTGATACATGTGATCCGTTTGTTTCCATAAGCTTCATCAGGAAAACACATTTTTCTTTTTGTAAACCACAAAGAATAAAATGTAACACTGGAGGAAACGGTCCAAAATGTTGTGTTATGAATGTAGGCAGATATAATAAATGAGCAAAAACAACAACAAAAAAATCGTTCCCTTCCTGTTGCATGTTTGTCACATGTTGTGTTATATTATTAAACACATTTAATAGCAGACAAAGATGATTTAAATAATGATTTGATTTATTACGAGACAACAGGGACAAAAGCCGCCTGGCCTCTGGTGAAAAAGTAAAAACCTAAATATTGGTTGGGCCACACTTGGCTGCAATCAAGTGTTTGCACAAACTAACAACGAGTGTTTGACATTGTTGCGGAGGGATTTTGGCCCACTCGTCAGTTCTTTCCGAATTGTTTTAATTCAGCTACACTGGAGAATTTACATCCTGTTTAAGGTCATGCCACAGCATCTCAGCTGGATTCAGGTCCAGACACTAACGTCCTGCGTTTCAGGTCATTTTGGGTCAAGTGGACTTTGAGGGACCATCTGACAGCCGGACAGTCGCCTTCAGGATTTCAGCAGATTTCCTGATTCCATCAGTGTTGGCAAAGCAGACCAGACACACTCCCAAAACCAAGACTTTTCCTTTTATCAAAGGCTGTGTTAGTTTGACACCAAATACTGAGACTTGAACTTTCCAAAAAGTTTTTGTCTCATCAGTCCACACTTGGGGCTCATCGAGATGTTTGTGGACAATGTGAGACCATCCTACATGTTCTTTTTGGTCAGCAGAGGTTTTCTCCTTGAACTCTCCTTTGCCTCTTTCATATGGTTGGATCATGACCTCCGAGCTAACTGAGTTCTTTAATGTTGTTCTGAGGTCTTTTGTGACCTCCTGTGTGACTCACTGACACACTCTTAACTTTGGTGAGCTGGCCACTGCTGGGAAGGTTGATCACTGGTCCAGGGTTTCTCCCATCATGGGTAATGGCTCACGCTGTGGTTTTACCAACCTGACACATTGTGGTTAATCAGAGTTAATTCGTGATTTAAAGAGAGTGATTTCTCACACAGCTAAGTTTGGATAACTTTTAAACAACAATTAAAAACTGCAGTTTGTTCTTTGTAAATTCTCTGGTTGGGAGTCTTATTTATATTTTATCTATATAAATTTATTACAAATATTATTATTGACTTATTTTTTGCGTGCAGTTTTAGTGCTCCATTGTCCTGCCATCGTCTCTGAGCTTACTCATTCTGTGTCCAGTCGAGGATGTGGCTCGTCAGTAGAAATATATCTATCCTGCTAGATTTTCATCCCAGGAATTTTCCCAGGGGACTAAAGACAAATGTATCATGTCCACAGATAAATGTACAGCATGGCCCATCTGTCAGTGTCTGCAGGCGACCTAAAATGTGAAACCTTGGACTGTCTGCACAGCAAACAAAACTGGACACCATGTCGAAAGATGCTTGTGTTATATTCCACATTCTTGGCCCCATGTTGTTAAGCAGTTGCACAAGTGTTTTGTTTTTCATACACAAAGTGCTTTCGGGAGATTCTCACAGTGCATTCAGGTCTTATTTTGACTTGGAGGGATTTCTGCTGCTTTTACCACTGAACCTTTCTGTTGAGTTCAAATTCACTGATCCCTCGAAGAGCAACTGGAAGCAGCAGCTTGAATGGTTCTTCCCACAAAGTCTGTCACTGAAGCATTTCTTAGGCTCCAGTTTACGTCAAAATTACATTGCTGTCATAACTGGTTTAGACGTAGTGATAACATAGCAAGACAGTTATGATTTCTTTTTGCAATAACGGATTAATTTCCATAATCTTTAGAAGCTTTACTGAGGAGGGAAGCAAACTACAAACGTCTATTGTTTGGTCTGTAAAATGCAGGCAAACATAAGGCAGTGGTTTCACGTCACTAGTTTTGTCTGGTAAACCAGTCAAAATGCTAAATTCACTTAGAAAGTGAAGTACATTATTGTACATTTAAAGGTACAGTGGGTACAGCTGATCGTTTCTTTTGTGGTCCCTTGTGGTTTGTGCTTTATGGAGTGCCTAGTCCTAAACCATGTAACTGGAGGGATGCAGCCACAAAGCGACGGGAATAATCTGCAGAAAATGGTCTGCGGCCGATACAAACACAGGCACATTTTCATATGGGTTGTCTGCTTAACCAGGTGAACTATAGCCTTTTATTAGGTGTACATTTAGTGTATGCTAATACTGACTAATTGGGAGGACATGAGTGCATCTACAGAAAAGTCAACTTTGGCCGACCATCACCTTCTGAAATCTGAATGTGTTAAATCTTAAAGAAATAAGGAAACCTGTAAAATAATAATTTTAATCTTAGATTTGAAGGTTTTACTGAATGTGTCTACATACGTGAAGAAGCCGTGCAGCCATGTATGCTTTCATGTATAAGAACATATATGTACTTTAAAAGATACACAAAGTTACCTGGAGGTCCAGGTATTTAGTCCTAGTTTGTATATTCATGCAGGGGTTACCTAAAGGAACACAAATGGAATTTGACTCTATTTCTGAGGGTGAGTGGGGTGAACAGTAGTTCATGAATTTATCAATCCACCATTTCAAGTTTTTACCTGATCTAAAGCCTCCTGGAGGTCAGGGTTTGTCAGTACCAAGCCAGCTTCAGGTTGAGGACAGATATGAAAACCCCTCTGCAGAGAGCTGTGTTTCACTGTGCTAAGGCTTTGTGCCAGCTTACAGGTCTTTGGCAACATAGAAGAAGCAGCTGAACATGTGTTGTTGCTCTTTGCACAAAAGACACACACATTAGAAACAGCATCATACTGACCGACTACATTCACTGTATAGAATATGATTTCAGCTCAGCTCGAAACTTACTAATACTTTGGTCATTAATTCAGGAATTCTTTGATGTTTAGCTAACCTCTCATCATCCACCAGGTCACCTGTGAGCCATCCAGAGTGAAAGGAAAACTTAACGCAAAATTTCACTCTGTGACAGGGCTCGTACAGAGACAGACAAACACACGCGCACGGTCAATTTAGAATCACCAGTTACTCTGTGTGTCCACCGCACAGACACGGGAGACACACCCGAAATCCACACAGATAGGACCAGACTGGATTTGAACCAATCAGGATCCACCACACCACCATGTCACCCTAACACTTTCTGAGTTTCTGTGCTATTTAAACCCGTCGCTAACCCTAAAGAGTCACTAATGACCTGGATCTGTTTCTTTTTGGAGACATGTAAAGCTGCGTTCTGTGTTATTTGTCCATATCAGACAACAGCCCATCGCACACACCAGTAACTAAAAGGAAAGCGAACATGTAGAAACTGCATGGATCAAGGAGGCCTTAAATGTGACATATACAGTACCATGTTTCACATTTTCATCAGTTCCTCAGTATTGAGAGAAGTCCAGTACACAGGCAAGACATCATCACAGCACAGTAATGCTTTTGAGATCTCACCCTGTGTAGGTATACCAAGAAGTTTGTGAGCGCTGTGTTTACAAGTCTTTTGAACGTTTCCGACAGCGATTAAAAGTCTTTATGTGCATAACGGAGTCTTTGAGGATGCAGCAGCTCTGCTGCAAACTCTAAGTCTTAGAAGGTCTTTTGTATATGCAGGCATCAGGTCATCAGTCCTGGAAGAGGTAGACAAACCACGAGTCAAACCTCCCGCTGCAGGTTTGACAGTTTGGGAGGGGGCGGTCTCCTTCCTTTCTCTTAGGGAATAAATGTCTGTCCTTCAGACCATGGAAGACGGCCCTCTCTGGTGTAGCCCCTTCAGTCACAGTAACAGTCACCTGACGCAGCAAATGAATCATTATCATGCTGATTAGGGCTAAAGGTTCACTTGACTGCTGAAGGTAACCCCCCAGGCTGCGCCTGCTCAGCTCTAGCATTGCCTCAGATTGCACAGGTCCAGCTCCTGAGGCTTCCTTTTCCCAGAGCAGTGCTCTCTGGGCAGATTCAGGCCGTTCTCGGTAATACAGCGCACCAGCCGCCTTTTAAAGCCCCTCCCACATGACTTGGAGCAGTGAGACCAAGTCCCAACATCCCACACGGGACACGGATCCCCGCATGCTCTTACTGACACGGGCCGGTCAGCACCATCACAGTCCACAGCAGGACGTCCATCCACACTCTGGCACTGTACCAGCCTCTTCTGCAGACCACTCCCACAAGTCACTGTGCACGAATCCCATCCACCTGTCACCCAGTGACTCACGGGTCTCTTCCCCATCACCTGCTTCTTAGACTCAATTTTGTTGTTATCAGCCAAGACGCTGTTCTGTGATTTATGACTTTTTTCTTCTTTCCACAGAGTCTTCTCCTCCTTGCTCTCCTTAGCGATGTAGAAGGAGTAGCGTACTCTGGGAGGAGTCATCTTCCCCACAGAGAGCACCTCCACAGTCAGAGGCTCCACCAGGGGTCTGGTGGCCTGAAGGATCTCCACAGATGTGGAGGTACCGCTGTAGCGCAGCAGGCTGCCCTTCACCAGCAGGTCACGCTCAACAGCTGACACCACGTAGTTGCCGTTCAGGAGGTACTTCCCGTGGCGGTTCTTCACGGCTAAGTAGTTTTCATCGCTGACCATTCCTCGGTAGCCCCGTTGACGGATGTCAATGTTGGACGCCCCAACGGGCAGCATCACCACAAAGTTGTAGCCATGGCTGCAAATGAAAAGGTGTCAAACACTGATGATGTCCAACCGAGTGGTTTTAAATTACAAGTGCCAAAATATCATTAATACAAACTAATTAGGTCCCATGTGTTAGTGCACAATGCAAACAACTAAACTTAGCACAATGACAGAATCCAGAATAAGACCATGTGCCATTTCTACCAGAACCAGTCTTACCAGTACATCTTCAGCCAACTACTCTCTAAACACAAGCTTTCATTTCCTGTTTTCGGGTGCCAAGTATAGCAGAACTTCTTTTTTAGGAGGTGAATTGTGTTTGTGTACAGCGAGTCTTTCAGATTAAATATGGGTTGAAATGTAACATTTGCGTCTTTGTTTGAAGCTTTTTATCAAAATCGATACTTTATCTTCACGATTTGATTCCACTTTGCTGATGTACTGAATTTAGAAACATTCTGTCACATGGAGCAATGTACTAGGTAAAATTTGTATGTGGGGATTACTTACACTGGCTTGGTGAACAATCCTGAGACCTTCTTGCAGCCTTGGTTGTCCCCACCACATACACCACACTTATCAAACTTCCTGTTAGAGTCCAGCTTGCCGTCACAGCCTGCCTTGATGCATTTTCCCTGAACGCACACAGACGTAGTGTCCGGGGAACAGGGTGTCCCATCCACAACCTGCCACATTCACATCATGCATGAATACACACATCAGAGAGAGCTACCAGCCTTTACTTTAAATAAAGCAGAGCCATAAATCACTACAAACCAAGAAGCTTCCCCAGACTGATTGCCACACCATGTCAGTGAGACGTTGGCTTGTATTTCTGCTGATTTCATAAAAGGTTGCTGAGAAGCCACAGCTGTGCAGTGATTCTGTCTCTCCATCTTTGACTTTCTCACCACTCTATTGATTCTCTGCTGCCACCAAAACATCACCTGTCACTTTAAAAGTGATGGACGTAACCATCATCTCCCAAACTGTGAATAAGGCCAAGCAGTGACACACCAACCTTTCTAACTCAAAGCTTCAGCGTCCCATCAGGTTTTGACTCCTGACTTCTGAAGTGTTAAACACTGAGGAGTTCAGATTCATTATGAAGCATAATAGTTGATAGGCCGGTGTCATGTCTGAGCTCGTTACACAGATACAAGCGTGGCAGGACTTTCATTTTGAAATTAACTGCAGCGTAATGAAAGCTAGCAGTGCTGATCTTTGTACTGTGTACAGCCATCTCTTATCTTTCATTTAATGAACATAATTTGCGTTCTTGAACACGTTTTTCAGTGTGTTAAGAAAGAGTTGATAGAAACAGATACAATCAGACTTGTTTCCTGAGTGGAACGGCTGAAAATCAGATGCATACCTTTGGAGCAAGGACGTAGAAGTATCCAGTCCCATTGGCACGGCAGATGAGCTTGCATTTGTCCTTGGGAGAGATGCCTGAATATTTGGGAACCCAAACCACAGACGAGCCCAGCCGATTGGTGTTCAGGTTTAGGCCGTTGAAGGCCTCGCATTGCTCCTCGCGGAAGCTTTTATCTGGAAATGAAGCAACAGCCTCAAATTAGATGTCTGTGAAGGTTCTCAGTCATCCAGGTCATCGTAGTCAAAGGAGCTTGCAAAGAAAAGCGTCTGGACTTCTTTAAGTTACTTGAAGACGTTTCACCTCTCATCCGAGAAGCTTCTTCAGTTCTAATGTCAAATGGTGGAGAGTCCCAGATATAAACCTAGTGGGAGTGACCCCCCACAGAGGGACAAAAGGACCCCCTGATGATCCTCTAATTGCCTGAGCCAAGGTGTGAAACTGGGTGTGGGTCCCAATCAGCCAGAGTTTCGGGTGAGTTCATTGTGGAATCCTTCACTGCGCACATTAACGCTGTGGATGAAAAACATCAAGTTCACCAGGGAAGACACAAAGGACGACTGTTTGCCTTTCCTGGACTGCGCTGTGCACATCGAAGAGAACGGCAAACTCAACATCGAAGTTTACCGGAAGCCCACACACACGGACCAGTACCTCCTGTTCGACTCCCATCACCCTCTGGAACACAAACTTGGAGTAATCAGGACCCTACACCACCGGGCAGAACATGTTCCCTCTAAGCCTGAAGGAAAAAAGAAGGAACACACACATGTAAAGGAAGCACTCAAAACGTGCGGCTATCCTAAATGGGCGTTCTTAAAGTCAGCAAAGAGGCACAGAAAAGAAGATCAGACACCAGCGAGGGAGGATAAGAAGGACAGACGCAACAACATTGTCATCCCCTATGTAGCCGGCGTATCAGAAAAACTCAGGAGAGTTTTCTCCAAGCATGACATCCCGGTGCATTTCAGACCCAGCAACACGCTCAGACACAAACTGGTTCACCCGAAAGACAAAACGCCAAAACACAAACTTAACAACGTGGTGTATGCTGTACAGTGCAGCGAGGAATGCCCAGACCTCTACACTGGAGAGACCAAACAGCCACTTCACAAGCGCATGGCACAACACAGAAGAGCCACCTCTACAGGACAAGACTCAGCAGTCCATCTGCATCTAAAGGTCAAAGGTCACTCTTTCGAGGATGCCAATGTTCACATTTTGGACAGAGAGGACAGATGGTTTGAAAGAGGAGTGAAAGAAGCATCTATGTCCACTGTGAGCGACCATCTTTGAACAGAGGCGGGGCTTACGACACCAACTGTCTGCCATCTATAATCCAGTTTTGAGTTCCCTCCCCAGACGCCTTAACGCCCACTCACATCCTGGGCCATCTGACCTCAGGAATTCACATGATAAGGTGGGGCCAGGTTTCACAATGAGCTCACCTGAAACGCTGGCTGATTGGGACCCACACCCAGTTTCACACCTTGGCTCAGGCGATTAGAGGATCATCAGGGGTCCTTTTGTCCCTCTGTGGGGGGAAACTCCCACTAGGTTTATATCTGGGACTCTCCACCATTTGACCTTAGAACTGAAGAAGCTTCTCGGATGAGAGGTGAAACGTCTTCAAGCAACTTAAAGAAGTCCAGACGCTTTTCTTTGCAAGCTCCTTTGACTATTCCCCAACTGGTTGGAGGCAGTCATTGGCAGCCTCTGTAAAACTGATTGCTGGAGTCGCAGCCACGCACTACAAAAGGACAGTTAGCATTGCTGGTGTTTGCTGCTGTTGCTGTGTAAAATTGGTTGACCTGTTGGCTAAGCAGCACTGAAACTGTGAAGAGTGGGATACAAATCAGACATTTAATCTGCCTTCAAATTAAAAGTTGACTGTTTTGCTGGATTTAGTGGTAAGGCACTTTTACTTTGAAAGCAAACATTCTCCATTTCCGATTTGTAGCACGTTTTCAAGTTTCATTGCTGCTCTGTGGTTAATATCTGACATCGTGGCATGTTTTATAGAAACTAAAGTTTGGAGGTTGTGTGACTGATTCCACCTGGTGACAGACAGCAACAGGTCCAGAGTAAATGAGGTTGTGAAAGGGTCCTCGACCAGCCTCTAGGCCTGTGTGAATGAGCTCTAAGCTAGCCAGCTGTTAGCTTGCAGCAGTGCCGTTTTACTTAAGAACCAACTAACTTTTCATTAATTAAATAATCTCAATGCTGAGCTGACTTAATTTCTTCGAACACAGAGCAGAAAGTGTCGTACCAGGTTAGCACTAGCTAGTCCCATTAATGCTGCTGTTTCTGTGCTTATGAAAACTGTTAGCAAGTAAGCTAACAGGAAAATGACAAAGCAAAGTCTATGAGGTATTTATACACCTCCCTGACTGTTTTTAAATTTTCTGACTAAAACTGAAGAAAATTTTAAAAATACTGAACACATGTTTGCATTTTAATCTAATGCTAATCTAATACTTGGATATAGGCTTAAGGAGCCCTCCTTGGGGGATTTATTGCAGGATTTTGCCACCTTCTGTTTGAATTACTTGCCATCACTGGACAAAAATACTCAGTTATGGTTGCTAAGGTTTATTTTTATGGTGAATGGTCCGAGGATCAGCGTACCTGTGTCAGGACAAGGGCTGAGGTTACAGGAACGGTACTTGACACGAAGGCCGTAGCAGTATTTGCCTCCGTTTTCAGGGACAGGGTTGTTGCACTGTCTTCTTGCCAGCTGAACTCCGCCTCCACAACTTCTGGAACAGTCACCAAATGAACCCCACTTCCCCCACCGACCATCGACCTGAGACAAAAGAACGATCAAAGCTGTTCACTAGTCTGTGACAAAAATGCTGGAGCAGGATGGGATGCTGCTTTCTTTCCACACCCCGTCTCACCTTGATGTGCTCAGTGCTGTTCTTCACAGAGCAAGCCCCCTGGTAGCAAACCTTGCCGTTGCCACAGCTTGTGCCATCGGCCCAGGGGAAATGTCGAGTTTGGCAGACCAGCTGTCCTCGGGCCTTTCCCGTGCACCACAGCTTGGAGCAGGGCTGCATGTAAGGGCAGGGTTTGGAGCCGGGGCCAAATGCAAGCTCACACTGACGGTGCAGGCTGTAGCTGGAGCCGGGCAGGTTGTCGGGCAGTGTCAGCTGCTTCTGAGGCTGGTCCAGCAGACAGTCTCCTAGAAACACACCGAGAGTAACAGCAAAGCTTTATTCGTGGAGTGATCAGTTTCTTTATATAGCTAATCAATATTATTACAAAAGGAGAAAAGCCTTATTTGCATGTAGGTGATGCTGATTGAGAAAAACCTGTTATGTAGTTTATCTATGCACTAACAAGTGTTTGTAGCTGTTCACTGAGCTCACTGTTTCTTACACCCTTGAATGTTTTGGTTCAGTCTCTTTACTCTCATCATTTTGTGCAGCAGGAAATGTGTGCACTACACTACATCACTTACCCAGTACCAAACAAAGTCTGCAGCTAGCATACGAACACTTTGCAGCTAAAAATGGGATGAGGATGTGAGGCGGTGACGAGAGCAAACACAGAACAGATGAAAGAAATGTAAATTGTGCACTTGTGTTTACCAGGTGGAAAGAAGCATGGCTGTCAATAAATTCAAACATTTCAGCATTGAATGTTGCCGGTCCTCTTTTCTCAGAGTCTGGTCATAGTTGAAAAACAGCTGCGACATGAAAGTTGAATGAATGTCACGGAGGATAAGAGTCTGACGTGTCCACTATGTCACTAAAGAAACACAGTTTAAATGTACAGAACTGTATGGGAAGTGTTTAAAAACAGGAAACAGGCTCTGACAAAGCCGGTCTGCCTGCACGGCCACGCTGTTCTTTGGGCTCCTGTTCATTATTATCCGTATTTGTCTTTGCAAAAACCTCGTCTATATTTCTCCCCTTGCAAGTGATGGTCTGACGCGACCTTTATTCTCCGAAACATCGAGTTCAGTTTTTGGCGTCATAACATAGCTGTGGACGGGACATCGGGACTTGGATGATGCTTCCTGTCACCTGAACGTGTGAAAACTCATTCGAGGTCACTGAGCTTCATCAGTCAGTGGAAATTTAATTGAAAGTGTAACCAGTGTACGTTCACCTCACGCATCCATTTTGATTTGTTTTATATGACACTGACGCTGAGGTACATTTAGGTAAGTTAATGTAAGGTCCTGGCAGGGAGATAAACAATGATGCACGTTTAACATTATGTCGGACTTAAACCTGCAGCATCAAAGCCTATGGAAGACAGGCTGTGGTGGGGCGTGGTTTGCGGCGCCGTGCGGACGCACCTGCACGGCATCCGCAATCACGCCCGCCGTGTTAAAACACGGGGACTCAGGGGTTGGTGGGGGTGTGGTGTGACGTGAATAAAATAAAGTTGGCTCTGAACGTTGCTCCGTGGTCCCGCCGTGCCTTATTCACGCCACACAGGCACTGCTTGAACTTATAAATAATGTGTGAACAAGCAGAGTGTGCTCAGCATGAGACGGTGCAGACGCCTGATCCTGTTTAGTTTAAGCTAATGACTCAGCACTGTTAGCTTGTTCAGGTTCATTTGCTTGTTTTAGGAACGGCAGTCGTTGGTAGCTGGAGATTAGGGGTGATATAATAAATTAGTACATTTAATGACTTCACTTACAGTCACCCTCAGGATGGTTAATCACTCTGTTGGTGTATTTATAATCCAGAACAGAACAAATGTGTATTGTCATTATAACAGTGTTACAGTGAAAAAGCATCCTGCTTCTCTGCTGCACGTCAGGATGTGTAAAATAAACTGAGAGAAAGGTAAACACAGGTACAAATAATACTGGAAAAGGAAAATAATACATTTTATTCTAAAACAATAACATAATATAGAATCTGTATTTTTAATGTGTGAGCTGTACGTCCTCCAAGAAGGCAGGAGGAAAGAACAGGTGATGTTCACAGTGAGTGGGGTCCTTTGTAAAACAGCTGGAGTCAGTGGGGAGCTGTGACGCCGTCACCACCTGCTGTGGATTCTTGTTGTTCGCTGTGAGCAGCTGGTCAACCTCAGCACACGGCAGCAGGTCAGGAGTGTTGAAGACTGAGGCTACGTCCACACTAATGCGCTTTCGTTTGAAAACGCATCATCTTCTCTGCGTTTTGGCCGCCCGTCCACACTGAGACGCCGTTTTCCCTGAAGGAAAACGCAGTGTTTAGAAAACGCTCTCGAAAACGAATTCATTTGAAGACGGTGCTTTTGCGTCGCAGTGTGGACAGCGAAAACAGAGACTTTCAAAAGCGATGATGCACTTTAGTCATGTGATGCAGTCACGTGGCCAATTAACCTAAGATAGCGGAGGACGTTATACAGCAGTTGTTTTGTTTGCTCTCAGTTTTGTCAGCCCTAGTATTCTCACTCGCTTTTGCACCTTTGTACTTTTGTGTTACTCGCAGCAGCAACTCCACCTCGTTGCTAGTCCATTTAAAAAACCCGCTGCTTTTCCTCGACATCTTGCCGACCTTTCAAAGAGCCGGAAAGTAAATAAGACAGAAACGAGGCAGGTCGAATCTTCTTGCGTTTCACGCGTGCGCAGTAATAAAATGTGAGCGTTTTGGGCCGTTTCAATGTGGACGCACAACTCTGTGAAAACGACAGAAAACGATAGTGTGGACGCCGAGTGTTTTCAGACAAAAACGCCGTTTTCAAATCTATCCTGGCCAGCGTGGACGCAGCCTGAGAGAAGTTGAGTCAGCAGGTGTTGATGCAGACGATGGATTTGAATGTGACGATCTGTTGTGAAGATACTCACACCTACCACATATTCCCTCTCTACCTCCTCTCTGTGCAGGCAGAGGACCGACAGCTCAGTGCACTTTGAGTTCCAAACTCCACTGTTTCTTTATTCCCGTTAGGTCCAGGTTATTGTGACAGCACTAGTCTGTCAGATGCTGCTTCACTGTTCAGGAAGGCCTGAGAGAAGGTTAGTCTTATTGGAGCTTGTAGGACTACAATGACCTCAGTCCACTGATGGCACTGGGTGTTTTGGCTGGAGGACAGCCGGCAGCTTGTAGATAGACATAATGTGTTTCCTTATCCAGAGAGCGTAGGAGGAAGTTTATGAAACCGTGTGTGAGGTTACAACTTCAGAATTGAATAGCTGTGCCTGCTGAAGCAAGAATGTCCACCTGTGTTCTCTAATATCAAGTAATATTCCATAATAAATGCATCGATATTATACTTCTCATGTCCTTGGCAGTTATTGCTACATTAAGGTAAACTTGGAACCATCATATATTCCATAACATATGAGAAACGTCCTCGGCTCTCTTGATCCATGGCCTCACCGGAGAAATCTTCATGATGACTTTATGGTCTCAATCACTAATTTAAGGTCTTCAAATGCAACACCTGCATGTTCTCCTCTACCTGCGCGGGTCCTCTCCAGGTGCTCTGGCATCTCCCCACTGTCCAAAGACGTGCACCTAGTGGTGGCACAGGCTGCACCTTTCACCTCATGATTGATAGCTGGCGTATCGTTCAGCACCACATAAGAAGAAGAGGATGGGTGAAGATTGCAGCCCCCAACAACAAGCAGGTGATATCATGAGGTCTATGTACATCGTTTACATACAGTCGGTGGTTTTCTCTGATTCTGGCTCAAAACTCTAACATGTAGTAAAAAAACAAACTCTCATCCAAAGAATGAAACATGAAGACCACAGGAAACAGAACCCAGACTGAAAATCAACAGAATCCAGATGGGACGTCCACCATGTCTCTTACTGATGTCTGACCGGCAGATAACACTAATCACTCTGTTAACTTGTCTTTTAGAAATTTGCTCTTGGCTAGAAATGAAGAAACCGAGTGATCCGTCAGAAAAACAAGATTTCTGGACGAGGATCCAGAATTTTCATTTCACGTACACCAGTTAAGCACAACTTTTTTATCAAATCTGAACTGATGACAACTTAACGTCATATATGAATGAAATGCTGTGGCCTTGCCTCGGCTGTTCACCAGTCATGTAAAACAACTGTGTGACCAGTTGGTCCACATCAAGCCTCAGCATCCGCGTTCTGCCTGACGACAGGTGAGTTTCGTTTTCACCTCGATCACATTAGGGGGGCGTGCTAAGCCGTCAACAACCACTAAAATGTTGCCCCTGCAATGACAAACAGTATTTATATAAAATTCTCTATAACCAACATCTTTATAGTTTGCAAAGTCATTTGACTAATTACTACGTGTGCACCTTTTAAAAGTGGCCTGGTTCTAACTAAACACTCCAGTGATAAACTTGCTTTAGATAAATTGCTCCGACTTTTTAAAATAAAACAATATGATTGTGAGGCACAGTTCAATAACTGAATCCAAATGATTGAAAACATGTTAAACAGAAATATCATTTGGCATGAAATCAAGCAGAAATTACAGGCAAAAAAAGCATTTTGTGGGTACAGTCAGATTGCTACCAGCTGAGAGCTGGATGACGACGCCTGGACATAATTAGATGTTAATCAGAGTCCAGAAACATAAGCAGGAAGTGTTTACTAACCGTGACCTCTGTCCAGGAACTCGGTAACGATGGCTGCACTGCACACAGACCAGGGTCGGCTCCTGTCTATCTGAATCAGCGTGGGAGACATCATGTGGTTGTCCTTTAGTTTCCCAAATACCTCCTCACATGCCTTCACATTGTCATGGGGCATGTTGAAAACGTGGCCTGAGGGAAAACAGTGGGAAGAGGAGGACTCATTTTGGTTCTGTTTTCAGTAAAACACGAGCACAATGAGTTCGTGCGGAGATAAAGAGAAATGCGAACATATTAATGCAAAGACAAATCGTTTACATACACACAGCAGCTCTACTCAGTCATCTGAAGCTGATGTCAGGAACAGAGCACTTTATTTCCAAAGGAAATCATTACGTTCCCTAAATACAAGCAGTGCCTTCCAAAATAAAAAATAAACATAAACTGTGGTTTTAATGCGGTCGTTCATGAGACCGGATTATTTCGAGGGGGAACTTGTGTAATTACTTAACATATATGAGGACAGTGTAAACCAATACCTCTCCTGGGCCTCTCGGGTTACTCGTGCATCTGGTTTCAGGCTAAAGCCCTCTGTTTTTCAGCAGGTTTCTCAGCGGTCACTCAGTCTCAGGAGTTTTTACAAGTTTGTGCAGTTTAATGCTATCTATTACTAAACATTAAGGCAGCAGGCAGAGAAGAATTACCTATTTATGTTTTCATTAGGAGTCACAGATTTATGCTGGTAATTTAGCTAGCTAATAGGCTCTTCACAAATTCTGGAAGAATTTTACAAAATGAATTTATTATGGTGCACAATCACCGTAATACATTGAAACTAGGATTTCATATAACCTGGTAACTGTCATGTCAGAATAAAAACATTATCCAGAGTATGTCATGGTTCTGGGTCTGTGAGCCAGTGTTGTGTGTATTTTAGTTTTATTTCATCGATTACTGTATTTTTCTCCATGTTTCCTGTCTTATTTTGAAAGGGTGTTGTGTTCTTTGGTCATTGTATTTAGTTTCACTTCCCAGTAGCGTCATTAGGTTCATGTGTATCAGCTGTGTCCTCGTGTGTTTTCATTACCCTAATCACCCTTGTGTGTATTTCGCCTGTGCTTTTCTGTTTAGTTATTGTCAGGTCGTCTGTCATCCCCCCCATAGTCACAGTCACAGTGTTTCTCAGTGTTTCTGTTCGTTTAGTTTTTATGTCTAACTCCTGCCACCAGGCAAATAAAGGCTCGCTTTTCATTAAGACCCAATCAGCATCTGCTTTTGGGTCTTATTTCTAAATACACCGGCGCACCCCGCCGCGACAGAGTAAAAACGAAGTGATGTTTGTGGGTTGCGTAAGAGGCTAAGCTAATGAGGCTAACCTGGCTACAGCCAGCCTAACAAAGAAAAGCACTGGGGGCAGGGCTAAGAGCTAGCTGTTTGTGCCAAAGTGTACTTTGTAACAGTACTCAGTAGAGCTTGGATGAAGCAGGCGAGCCATTCCCAGTATCTTCAGACCTTTATGCTAAATTGCTTGCTGTAGCTAATAGCTAACTCACAGACACAACAGTAGTATGAATCTGCTCGTGTCACTCACTTCCACCCCAAATGTTCGGAGATGAACAATAGTTTATGTATGTAGTTTACAATTAGCAGCCACTGCTGGACATACCAGTAATATTTCCTGTGCTTTCGTTGCCCTTTTCCTTTCCACAGACTGGCTGGACTGTTAAAGATGTTGCTTTATGATATCAAATGAAATAGTTGAGATTTTCACAGCGGCCATTTGCAGCTGCCAGAATACAAAGTTACATGGTGTGGCTGCTCGGTGAAACACTGAGCGCTGCTTTTGATTGTAATGATACTGATTTTCAAACACAGCATCAGATGAAGGCAATTAAATCATTTGACAGATTGAAACCCACCAGTCCCCCAGGATCAAGACCAAGAACCGCAACCATACAATTCATCATGAAAATAATAAGTCCCACAGGCCGGGCTAGTCTGCGCACTGATTATGCACATACAAGTTTGTCAAGCCTCAAATAAAAAGTCATTCTGTGGTCGTGTTGGTTTAGCATGAGGTGCATAATGTGAGAAAACTTCTGACCAAGTTCATGAGCAGTCGTGAAAGCCGAGGGTAAGCCGTCATCCTCGATGACGGAGCAGCTCCTCTTCGGGTCGCACATGGTCCCAACATCAGCCATCCCCAGCGTATCGCAGGTCGTGGCTCCACAAAGATCCTGGTGACACAGAGACAAATGTGTGCTTCTTTATTCTCATTGGAAGCCTGAAAAATCAGACTGGACTCGGGCCATGTTCCAAACATGATATGTGTGGCTGGGCCCTGAGCAACACATTGAACAGACCATGAAAGGAACTAATTCAAAGCATGTGGGAGTGTGGTTTGCTTATTCCCTGTTCTTAAAATATATTGAAGCAGAGGGTCGGGGGAGATGGGCTGCCACAGATTTCCTCTTTGTGTTTCTGTACAGAGGTAAGAATATACCTCCAGCGCAGCGCAGAGTGGAATAAATCCACAGGAATCTATCTGACTGTGTTCATCGCAAAGTCTGTTCCCATCTACTCTCTGCTTACATTCACCCATTCTTAATTTACAGAACAGTTCAAAGTAAATTGTTGGTTTAATGTGAACATCTGATGTTTTTATATTGATAAGAATCAGTCTGTTGTTTTATTTGTTGTCTGAGCACCTTTATTAAATATATATTTGTCCTGATATGTCCTGTTGTACCCTCTGTACAACATTTTAGAGAAAACCTGTAGTTTCGGAGCACCCAGATGCCACCAAATACAGGTTCCCCCCCGAAATGCAGACAGTACTTTAACCTACACTTGATGTAAACTTCACAGCACTCCTTCAAAGTGGTATTCAGAGTAAAACTCCACAGTCTGCTGCACCAGAACTGAACACAGTCGTGTGCCTTTATGGTGGCTGCTGGTTCTAGAAAAGTAATTTGATTGAATTGCAAAAGTGTCACGATTGAAGTAAGTTGTACAGAGGAGTCGTCTGTACTCAAAACAAAACTTCAAGTGTCACGGTCCGGGGCAGCGGCCGTGTGGAGAGCGGAAGGAGGACTCAAAACGCAGCACTTATTCAGGTGTGAGGGTGATTTATTGATAATATCCAATATAAAGTGGGGATGGTAAAACAGAACTAAGGATGAACTAACTGGGAGAAACTACACAAAGAAATAGCAAACCTGAGCATGAAGGGAGAACAGCAGGGAGAGCACGCAGGGGTTTACACCAGGTATGAACACAGACGACGCGACGAGGAGCAGAGGAAAACACACACTATAAGTACACAGAGAGACACTGGGAAATCACACACAGGTGGGAGACACAGCTGGACCTGATTAACCTGACGAGACAGGGGAACACTAACACCAGGGACCAATAGAGGGAGCACAAACCCAAAACCCAGTATCTAAAATCCCAAAACACAAACCATCCCAAAACAGCCCAAGAATAATAAAGAGAATAACAACAATAAGGAACACAAACACAAAGTCACTGAGTCATGGCCGCAGGACCATGACATCAAGACAAAACTTCCAAAACCAGGATGATCCCCACACCTGTGCCCACATTTACAGCTGTGGTGTTATCTTCTAGCTATGCTGTTAATGTGGTTTGAGAACAAGGAGGACAGATCACTGGTGGTTTTGTCCAAACTGAAACATTTCAACAAGTGTTGGGTTGGTTTCCATGTGTGACACTGAGGGTCCCCAGAGGAGCTCTCCTTTGGATTTCAGACGTCTCCTAAATCAGCACCAATGTGCAAAGATTCAACATCGAGTATCAGAGGTGTTTATGTTCCTTCCAGAAGAACACTGATGTGTTGCTTCATGAGGTGCTGGCCTTGCTGTAACCACCAGTGGATCAAATTTTGAAAATGGTCGTTGCTTTAATTTATGGCTGTGTTTATATAAAACTGGCGTTCCCATCACCCTCAGGTGTATACTGCGCTTGTTGTTAACAAATGTCAGCGTTACAAAGTGATGAGTTATATAGTGTGGTTTTTCAAGCGATCGGCTGAAGGAAAAGGAAAGGCCCTTAAGGATTTGGAAAGCATCTTTCTCCCTCTGCCTCAGTGGGATGCAGCTGCTGAGCAGGATGCATCCAAACTTACAGCTGTGTCAGCGAGCATGTTGAAGTTAGCTAGCGAGACAGCCGACAGGTTGGACTGTGCATTTCGGAGTGATTTGCGTGAATCTTCGCGGGCTGATAATTGCGGTCTGGCATGTGCTTCCGATTTTGTGATAATGACACCTTTTGATGGCAGTGCTGCTTGTTCTTCTGGCTGCTCTCTGTAGGGGTCGCCATGGTAGATCATATCCCAGCATCCTCCTCTCTCACACCAACCCTTTGCATGTCCTCCTTCACTATTTCTATAAAACTCTTCTTTTTTTTCTTTTACTCAAAATGTGGAGCTTCCTTGCAGCTCTACAATCAACACGCTTTGTTGAACATACCTGCGATCCGTCCTCTGCACTTGTCCATCTCAGCTTTGCCTCTCTTTGCCTACAAACACTTCTGTCACACATCACAAAGTCTCACGAGCATAATGTAAACCTTCCCTTTACAAATCAACCCTGACACTCGCCCCACCGACTCCACCCTGCCAGCACTGCCTTACTTCTGCTTTCATCTTCTCTCCATAGCATTTCCCCATGCTATCTTCCATCTGCTTCCTTTTCTCACTACAGATTCCAGCGTCGTCCGCAAACATCATAATCCACAGAGATTCCTAGCTGACCTCATCCGTTAGCTGGTCTTGCTGCCAGCAAAGCGAGCCTCAGAGTCAGTAGTGTACCACAGTTCTGGCCCCTTGGCTGGGCCACCACCACCACAGCTCAGAAACCACACTAGCGAGGTTTCAACCCAAACTGTCACTCTGAGAGACATTACCAAGCTTGTTGCTGGTTATTTGTTGTGGCTATGGTGTCGTGGTTAACCACACTTACCTAATACAAACCTGATGGCGATAGAGCTAGCACAGCCTGAGCTACATTAGCCAATAGGCTAACACTCTCTGTGCAGTCTAACCAACGTGTCCACGCTAACACTGTTTATTTTTGATAACTTAGTAACATGACAAGTCACAGATTGTAATGTAACAACTCACTATGAACACTAAGTGACACTAACAAATACAAATAGACTGGTGAATGAGTACGACGTTTCCACTGCTTACGTCCACATTAGTCTGTGACTTTAGCTTAGAGCATCGCTGCACACGCTGCACCTGCTTGGTGTTCAACATTACAGCAAACTGTATTTTCCCACTGAACAACTTCTTGGAATAATGGCCACAATTCAACGATTATCAGTAATTTTGTAGCAAAGTTCTGTCACGAGGCTCACTGAAAAGGTTTCTTTGTGTCTCTGCTTCATTATGTCAAGTCAGGAATGATTTTGTGGCCAAGTGGCTTTCATGTACCTGTGTGTTCCAAGTAAATATGAAGACAGCTGAAAATGAACTTGTTAACCCAGTGTTGGCCCAGTAAGGCTGTAACACACACTGCCAACCATGTGTACTCCACACATCTTAGACTTCATAACCTATTGCATTATTTTTTCCAATGCAGCAGCTGGAGTCACTGTGCCCTACAAGGACAACAGCACTGGACCTGGACTTTCCTATATATAACAGTGTGATTAAGGGATGGTTCCCAACACTGGAACAATTTTTCATTCTTTTTGACGTAAATGTTTCTGTATGTTGCTACGTGTTAAGCAAAGGAGGCCGACGTGTATCAGACCGTCAGCCAAAGTGGACCTAATGGAAAAATGACCCCCGATAATGAGCAGGCATTGAAGAGGGAGAGACGGAGAAGTAAGAATCAGCCAGTGTTTACAGCTCTGGTGACCACATGGGATTATCTGACAGCTGTGAACAGGCTGAACTCTTCAGACGGTGCCAACTTACATCAGCTTGAATAAATGAGGGAGTCGTTGGAATTCTAGCTGGATTCTTACAGAGTTTTTGATAGTATGAAGATGGCCACTACAGGCAGATAGTAATCCAGTTCTTATTCGGCTGAGGCAGATAGAGGTGAGGTCTTTCATGGAAAGAACTGGCTCAGCTGGTCTTTTCCACTGACGCACTGCAGCAGCCAACAGAAAAGGGGACTCGCAGAGCTGTGCAAGTCCTGGGATGTAGCTGCACCTATACTGAGCCTACTGAGCACTAGTGATGGGTAAATGTGGCAGCTGTGCAGGAATCATAACAAGTCTCCACAGTGACACTGGCCATTTGTGTTATCATCACATCTTGATAACGATAGCCTGTGACACAGAGTCACAGACAAGCACTGTTGCCGCCACTACTGCTGCTGCTGAGGATTACTCTTAAGGTCTCTGGGAGTTTGCATCGTCGTCAGGCTTGCTCTACACTCTAACAATCAAACCTAGAAGCAACAAGTAAGCCACCTTTTAAAACTGGGGTGATAAACACGACAACCTTAATTAGCTGTGGTCGTGTGAAATGGGTGTTTGAAACCCTGCAATGCTGGAAAGTCAGTATCAAACTACTGGTTACAAACTCAGGGCCCCTAGTCTATTTATACCACCCACTAAAGACATACTAATCAAATAGTTATAAAAACACGAAACAACCACAGAAATGCAAAACAGCTCAAAAAAGCTGTGAAACAATTACAAGGAGGTGGAGAAACACTAAATCCCTGCAAAGAGACAGTTTCAAACAGCAATGCAAAGAAAAAAGACACAGAGACGTAGTGTCGAGATAAAGAGACGTGAAGTAAAAGCAAAACAAACAGAGACACGAAACCACCTCAAGCAATCAGCAACAACTGCAAAGGGGAGCAAAGTACTACGACAGATACTACGAAACACAAACCCACATGATGCCCAAAAGAACAGCGATGAGGCCCAACAAAGACGTGTAAATGACTACAGAGATACAAACGACCCCAACAAAAACTCACTGTGTGACGTAAACAGACACAAACATACAAAGAGACAATCAAAACATCAAACAACCTGAGACAGACACACAATGATTACATCAATGGTCTCAAACTTACATGAGCTGTGGGCCACTGCTGGCACTGTCGTCTCATTGGACGGACACTTTATGTTCAAGTAGTACAAAAACAAACAAATAAACAAGAAAACACCCACAAATATTTCCTAAAATGTTTTGTTTGTTTGTTTTTAAAATTTCAAATATTGTATAAAAAGAGCAAACTGCAAACGTGAACACAGATTTAAACTAACTGGATCCTTTCATTGAACACACACACTGGTGCTCTGTGCACACGTGGCAGCACTGCTGCTGTCGTTGTGTTCGTGTTTAACAAATCAAACTGCAGACATGAGTGTGAGTCTGTCACTGAGTAACGCAGCCTCGGCGTGTTTGTGCTCTCTGCTCATGTCTCCTTCATGTTAAATCATTTTGGGCTTTTTAAAGAACTTATTTTAACATTGCACTCGACAACAAGGGACAAACTGCGTTATTTCTTCATGTCAGCAAGTAGGGCTGACGTGGGCCGCAAGTGGCCCCCGGGCCACAGGTTTGAGACCCCTGGATGACACAATGCATCTACTTCAGCTACAGCTGTGTTTTAGTCTTGGTGTCTAAGTGAACAGGGGGCCCTGTATGTGTTTGTGCCCCAGACTCCAGGATCTGACCATCCATCCATGAGTGCAGTAGTTCTGTTCTCTGCAGCACCCACATCTCTAATGCAGCTCTGGCTCTTTGACCTACCTGTTTGGTGAACAGAATGGCTGTGTCCCAGTACTCGGGGTGCTTGTCACTGTGTTTATTTAACTTCTTCTGCCAGGAGCAGAAGTTGCGCAGAGTCAGAGCAGCATTACTGGAAACCTTCGGTCCCTTGTCATCGTCGTTTATCACCATGAAGCCCACCACCACTATGTTTATGGAGTTGAGGATGCTGGGGTGCTTGTAAAGCCTGGCTGCTACTGACATGAGGGTCAGAACGTAATGCTTTAGGCCATCCCCGTGAAATTTAGCCATAGATTCATCTGCCACAACCAGCACCTCCACAAACCTGGGGACGGCGGCGAACCTCTTAGACCTCCCCAAGGAATTGAGCACAGTCTCGGTCAAGCCGTCCGTCTCCAGTTCTCTCATGTACTTGTATCTCTCCAGGGAGACGGTGAAGTTGGTGTCAGGTGGAACTTCACACCTGCTGGTAAAGTTTCCAGCTGAGTGCGCTGGGCGTCTGCGGCGGCGAATGATATGCGTCCTGTCGAAGGAGTTTCCACGCACAGAAGCGGCCCCTGCGTTTTCAGTCTCGGTCTGGCTAATAAAATATTCCACGCCGTTATAGAAGAATCCCCCCTGCAGGCCTTTGCACAGGCTCAGCGCGGCAAAGGAGTCGGGGTCTGCGTTGACATAGCCGGAGTAGAAGCATTCCCTGAATTCAGAGCCTGCAAAGGTGTCGGGTGCTGAAACACTCCCAGCTGCAATGAAACTGGAATCTGGAGACAGATGGAGGTAAAAATCCTCTCTGAATGCACGAAGTCTAAACACGATCTCATCTTCATTCATCTGCTCGGCGCGCCGGTGCAAATACACTCCGGGCTTTTTCTGACTCAGGCGAACAGGTCTGCAGAAATCGACCTCCATGCAATGTGTCACCTTCAAATAAAGCAAGAACTGCGTAAAAAGAACGAAAGAACTGCTCGGCATCGCCATCTCTGCTCCCACTCGGGACAGTCCGCCGTTCAAGAAGTTGTGCGCAATGGCACCAAGCTCAGCCCATGCGTCTTTTAAAAGCCTATGCACTCGCGCGTCCTCCCTGCTGCTTCCCCATCTTGCACCGTTTCCTGTCTGCACGCGAACTTCTCTGAGCTGCTCAGTTTTAAAGTCGCGCTAAACTCGAGCATCGCTGTCAAACAGAAATCTGAGTGCGTGTGCAGGACGGAGCTCATTGGCCAGGCTGCGCGCTTTGTGCTGCAGAGCGCAGCCACTTGTAGCTCTCCAAATATTATTGTTGCCGTACAGCATGAGCGACATGAGCATCATCCCCACGCAGTCTGCTCAGACAACTCTGAATCAGACATGTTTCACAAGAGCACACAGAGCATCACTTGATCAGAAATAGATACACTGATAAACGTTGGTCATGAATTTCAATCTCATCAAAACATCAAGCAGAATCATTTACATGATATCATTGGATTAGGTAATAACGTGTATGTCACTTTAATGTTGCAGCTGGAGGTGATTTGAGTGACTTCAGCACTGCTGGATCAGTACAAGGGCATTAAATCTGTAATTTAATAAAGTACAGCAGTGAATGTACAAAGTTGGGGGTAGGGAGGACGGGCTCCAGCAAAAAAGGATGAAAAACGTATCCAACAGAGATCGATTGATTTGGGAACAAGACCAAAACCCTCCTAGAATCAAGTGTTGCCACTGAGGAGGCCATCATGACAGTAACGACTCTAATATTATTGAATGGTCAACATTACAGAGTACCACACGTCTCCAGCTTCTACTAAAGAAAACGGGGAACAAGTGAAAACAGAAACTTGATTTTTGGGCAAACAGCGACACCTAGTGTCTAACGAAGAGTGAGCACAAACGCTCGGTCCTTGTGCTTTGGCGCCATCTGCTGGTACATGTCGTGATCTGTACATCTGTTTGGGGTGCAGGAATTTTTGGGCATTTGTTTTTGATTATTTGATGAGTTTAACATTCAGTTCAAATGCAGTTTTTTATTCACTGTGTGTAAAATCTTGCTTTATTTTAGTATTTAAAAAGAAGCTTCTTCAAACGTCACATATTGGAGATATGAGAAGAATAACGTTCATCCAAAATCATCACTAACGCGATTAGACGTTTCCCAGTGTTCGGGGTCAGTTCCAAGAAAACTCGGCGCCTTTCTTCGTCTTGCTCTTTTGTGCGGAGGATGAAGCAGGCCGGATTTGGAGAGGGGCGGGGTGGGGGGCTCCGGGCCCTGTGGGGGCCTGCCACTCACACACCTCCGAAATAACTCGCGTAACGGACTCCCAGCTATGCGTAGTATAGATGTCCTGTCGCTGCCATACAGCACGCTGGGTTAATAATAGGAGCGCGGTTGTCAAGCTGTTTCAGAAGGGGGGAGTGTCGGCCCATTCTTATTGGACCCGTTTTATCCTCGAGTTTCTCATGAAGTGTGAGTGGGAGGAGAATTTCCAGCAACGGAGGATATCAAAAATAAGCCCCCTCGTGTCCAGAGAAGAAGGGAAAGTATAAATACCCCCGATATGTCCAGACTGCAGCGGTGCTGGTGAGCGGCAGAACAGGGAATGATAGCTGGCCGAAGCTGAGTGGGACTGGGAGCTCACTTTCATTTCAGTAGAGACGTTATTGCGACTGCAGAAGAGAAAGGACATCATCTTTGTTAGAGTCTTTATTTTTGATCCACTCTTCAGCGCGTTTCTGTCTGCAGACGATGTGTGCCACTGCGTGTTTGCTCTTTTCGCTCCTGTGCGTAGTCAACGCGGCACTTGCCTCTTCGTTTGAATCAGAGGATGTTGTACCTGTTCGGATAAACGCAAGAACCAGCGGGCGCTTCTGGAAGAGAAGCGAGGAGCAGCCGAGGTTTGTCCTCAGTGCGTTTGGCAAAGACTTTACTCTAAACCTCGTCCCGGACACCAGCTTCATCGCGCCTTCCTTCACCATCCAGCGCGTCAAAGCCAGAGACGTTGAAACTTTACGCAGCGCTCCAGGTGCCCGAGCCGTCCCCCAGAAGCTTATGAACAGGTCAGAGGAGAGCGAGGGCCACCTGAGGAGCTGCTTTTACTCCGGGAACGTGGATCAAGATCAGAACTCACTCGTGGCTGTCAGTCTGTGCTCGGGCATCTTTGGCTCCTTTGTAACGGAGGGCAAAGAGTATTTGATTGAGCCCAAACTCCACGGCGGCCCGGGGCCAGCCTCTGCCGAGGAGCCGCACGTCATCAGGAGGAGAACATTCAACGACAGCAACGGTGTTTCCCTCCCGTCTGATCACGCGGCCGTGGAGCAGCACAATGGGGAAAGTTTTACGCACGGCGACGGTGACGCAAGGAGGGAACCACGCCGGAGACGCTTTGTCTCCGCGCCACGGTTCATAGAGACCCTGGTGGTAGCAGACTCAACCATGACCCACTTCTATGGAGATGAAATAAAGGTCAGACGCCATGAACTCATTCTTTCCTGCACGCACACACTTACTCGGCGCCCAAACAAAGCTTTCTTTAATTTCTTGGCTTAGACTCTTCCATAATCAGGCCGCTGTTGTAGACGTCATTCCATTACCCCCCCCCCCCCCCCTTTTTTTTTTTTTTTATTTTCCCATCCTGTCTGCAAAGTCAGGATTCACACACTAGAAAATATAAAGGCAGGCATATGTTTTTCTCTCCGGCTGCATAAAACATGTTTTGTCAGTGAGGGACCTTGGGCGGAAATCGATGAGCTCCCTGTTTTTCACAGAAAGATGTCAGGCCAAAGAAATGCAAGAAATGCTAGAGCACATTCCTAGGGACTAGGTCACCATTTGGCAGCAAAGCCTCAGCATCACCAGGAAGACTCACAGCGCTTTTCCATTCTGTCTTTACTCCGTGATTCTTTAAATCAGCCCTTCTCTCCCGCATAAAACCTTCAGTGTTTAAAGTGCACTAAATGTTTATTACGTCCTCCTTCCAATCTAAAATCAGTCCTGGTTCCAAACAAAGCCGAACCAGTAATAAGTAGGACTGTGCCAAAGTCCGCACCAGCCAAATTCTAATCTGTTTGTGTTTAAGTCACTCCTCAGCTGCCAAAGTCTCCATAGTATTCCCCAGGCAACCAGACACAAGGTGAGGAGAAAGGTTGCACTGATAAACTTGGCTCACAGTGGATTTTCCATCCCAAATCACACATTCCTTTATTTCTATGCAGTTTTCTACAAATAGGGGCCGTTTCAGTCATTTGGTTTCCCCAGGCAAAAATCAACATGTGGTTCCGTGGGTGTGCTCACAGCACATGTGGAAAAACTTTCAATGTGGGACTATCAACCCACCCTAGAAAAAATGATTTCACCGAGAATACACATCACGGCAAAGCCGCTCACACTGTCTGTGATTTGGCAGCTCGGAAACACGGTGACACAGCAGCTCAGTGGAAATCCCTGACGCGTCTCCTTTAATGATAATAATAATTCCAGGCAAAGCACTTTACAATTCCACTATTCATTCACACACTGGTGGAGGCAGCTACAGTTGTAGCCATATTGCGCCATCGGCCCCTCTGGCCAACACCGGTAGGGTAAAGTGTCTTGCCCAAGGGCACAACAACCAGGACAGAGAGAGCAGGGGGATCGAACCGGTTACAGATGAGCTTCCCGATCCCCTGAGCCACAGTCGCCCCATGATTGTGTCACGGGACAAGTAACTTTGGGGAAAATGATTTCAGGCCACAGGTGCAAATACATGTCGGTTTGTCTGCCTACAGCTCTGGCCATCTTGTATGATGTTGGCATCCGTTCCTTTTCTTTGTTTGCTGCAGCAGTAACATACAGTCCAGGACAGCTCCACATATCAGCCAGTTTAATTTCCATTGTAGAACACACATGTGCTCAGTGAGTAGTACTTCATAGTGTTTATGCTTTTATTTTTGTGCAATTACTGCATTTGGAAAAAGTCTCTTTTCCGTTTGAAGGCATCAAACGAGGCTCGGCACGTTAGAGCCGAGCTAACCAACACACTGGCCCCTCTACACGATTACACATGCACATCTAGTAAGTAAGAAAAGGCAAAAATGTGTTTGCAATCTGTTCAAAATTTTATAATGAAGCTTGTCCCGCAGACACAAAACATCATTAAAGTCTCCTGGAGTAATATACCGCACACACACACACGCACACGCTTTCTTGTCAAGATTTCATAAAAAAAATCTCATTACCATCACGTGTATGTTTATTATAATCCCACACTTGTGAGGGACAGCCAGCCTGGCTCCAAACACATCTGTAGGCTGAATCATAAATATCCTCTCCTCCACAGCACTACATCCTCACCCTCATGTCCATGGCCGCCCAGCTTTATAAGCACCCCAGCATAAAGAACTCTGTGAACATGGTGGTGGTGGAGATGCTGGTGGTGGAAGACGAGGAAATTGGACCGGAGGTCTCCAGCAATGGAGGTGTGGCTCTGAGGAACTTCTGCTCCTGGCAGCAGCGCTTCAATCCACCAAGCCAGAGGCATCCCGAGCACTACGACACTGCCATGCTGTTCACTAGAGAGGTGAGGAACCAGCAGACGAGCATACATCTGATTTTGTTATTTTTCTCATTTTTTGTTTTATTTGAAGCTGTTTAGGTCTTTGAAATAAAACACAGCATCATCTGCAAATAAGGCTTTAAACATTTATCTTTTAAACAAGATGAACATCTTAACAAGAAGTCATTAACTACACTATTTATAGCTTTTAACTGCACAAGTTCAGAGAAATGCCATCATTATCCCTGAATAAAGGCATTGTTTAGTATCGTGCAATTGAAATTCTAAGATCGCGCGACAACATCTGGACTGTGCAAACGAGTACTCAGCCATTTAGTAACTGAGACACAATTAAAACCTACAGGCAAAATTAAGAGTTACTGTGTTCATTAAGTCATAATTTGCAAACGGCAGTGGCCTGAGAACTGATCCTTGAGGAACACCGGAGTATTTCAGGTTTCATTGAAAGGTTTAACAATGGGAAGTGATTTAGTCATGAAGCAAAAATGTAAATGCCATCCATTCGCTGATCCTTTTCTGGGTCGCGGGGGGCACTGGAGCCTATCCCAGCTGTCATAGGGCGAGAGGCGGGGTACGCCCTGGACAGGTCGCCAGTATGTTACAGGGCCAACACACAGGGACAGACAACCATTCACACCTAGTGGTAATTTGGATTATCCAATTAACCTATCCCCACAAGCTG